GTTGTTTGTTTTGCGAGTAGGTGGCAAGGGACTGCCTAACCTGACAGAGTCGGTGTTAGATCAATATCCATGTATCTTTACTGTCACTAGTGTCTCCGCTATAGTGTGTTGTTTGTTTTGCGAGTAGGTGGCAAGGGACTGCCTAACCTGACAGAGTCAGTGTTAGATCAATACCCATGTATCTTTACTGTCACTAGTGCCTCTTCTAGAGTGTGTTGTTTGTTTTGCGAGTAGGTGGCAAGGGACTGCCTAACCTGACAGAGTCGGTGTTAGATCAATATCCATGTGTCTTTACTGTCACTAGTGCCTCCCCTATAGTGTGTTGTTTGTTTTGCGAGTAGGTGGCAAGGGACTGCCTAACCTGACAGAGTCCGTGTTAGATCAGTATCGATGTATATTGACTGTTACTAGTGCCTCCCCTATAGTGTGTTGTTTGTTTTGCGAGTAGGTGGCAAGGGACTGCCTAACCTGACAGAGTCCGTGTTAGATCAATATCCATGTATCTTTACTGTCACTAGGGCTTACTCTATAGTGTGTTGTTTGTTTTGCGAGTAGGTGGCAAGGGACTGCCTAACCTGACAGAGTCGGTGGAGGTAGATGAGCTGAGGTTACGCGAGGGGTCACCGGACGGGGAACCGGACGCACGACCCGTGAGGTCGGTCAGCTCGACCTTTGAGGTCAAGGACTGGTGGAAGGAGCAGATGGCGTACGAGAGCGATTCTGCGGACGAGGACTGAGCATTTGGAATCGGGGAATACGACGATTGTTGAGCGTCTGGAATCCGGAATCTGATGGGTACTGAGCATCCGTAATCGGGAATATAATGAATTCTGAGTGTCTGGTATCCAGAATGAGACAGGTATTTAGGGTCCGGAATCCCAATTCCAGAATCCGATGGGTACTGAATATCTGGAATTCGGAATCCGGCGGGTACTGAGTGTCCAGAATCCGGAATCGCACAACTACTTGGCTTCTGGAATCTGATAATTACTGAGCATCTGTAACTTGGAATCTAATGTCTACTAAGCATTTATAACCTGGAATCTGGAATCCGGAATCACGCTATCATGGATTCCTCGTTAGTAACTGATCGAGGGAAAGACTGTTTGTGAGGGAAATGCTATAATATCAGTCTCACGGATGGTAGAATAACTTGATAGGAGGAAAGAATAGATCAGACCAGCAGTTGTAGGTGTAATGAGTGAAAGCTACACCGTCGGATCGCTTGTCACTTGTGTGGTGCTGTCACACACTTAGTAGTTCACCTCAACGCTTTACGAAATAAAGTTAAGTCCTTCCCGTGCCTATGTGACACATAGGGCGGTGCCTATCTCCGTTTCCGTAACCCGAGGCCCCGCAGCTGCTTTCACAGTAAATACTACAGCAGGGGGTTAATCCACTGGTAGCACTGCGAGTTAACTTTCCACACTCTATCTCTATTTGCTGAGTGCTAAGCAGAGAAGCAACAACACTTTGCTAGTGCAGCTTTATTGTATCTCTGTGTGCGTATCTTGCTACAGGCTGGAGTTTTCTCCGAAAATAACTGTTATCGGCAACATATTTCTACCTTGTAAACTACCGATGATATTTCTTGTATATTTACTGTAGCCTCTTATCGGTGTTGCTGAGGAAAACATGTTATTGTTGCGTTAATACATATATACGTATATATTTTATGTGGAGGTGTATGGATTCATTTCAGGGTGAATAGAGTGGATTTCGTAATTTCACATGCTGCCAAATTTTGATTTGTATCCGTCAGTCAATACAGTGAAAATTATTGCGGGAGACATGTCATTATAGACTAGTTATTTGTGTCATCAGGTTCCATTCTGCAGATTCGATCATTACTTGTAGCGTGAACTTATAGAACTTGTAGAAAGATATGTGGAGTATGTACTCTGTAAGTTTACGGTTGTAATAACTGGGAGTATTAACCTCTTATCTGTCAAGTCTATATATGTGTATATATATATATTATATGTATATGTATGTATATGACACCTATACTATCTGTCAAGTATATATGTGTATATATATATTATATGTATATGTATGTATATGACACCTATACTATCTGTCAAGTATATATATGTTTATGTATATATATATTATATGTATATGTATGTATATGACACCTATAGGTCTTTATAGGTCTCTTATACGTGACACTATCCAGTTACACACGATACAGATACATTAACGAAGCAATATAGGTTACCATAACTTCAATTCTGCTCACACACCCATTGCTGTGTGCCTTACGTTATAAACGTACTTTTTATATCGCTTATATGTGACCAATATATATATATATTTAATCCTAGTTATTTCTCGCATAATAATTTTAGGTTTAGCTGCCTCTCGAGATGGCGTGATGCATCGAGCACATCGTCTAGTTTTATGAGAAACGCGTATTTTGAATATCGAGAGATGGCCACATTTCGGATTTTGAGTCATTAGAGTACCTGTGTATACGTTAATTGTTATTGTACAAGTGTTGTACCAGGGCGTTGATCATGAGTAGCAATGGACCATCTAGTCAAAATCTGTTTAATAAACGTCCGTATGAACTGTGACTATAAACACTTCTAACGATAAATAAATTGTACAATGTAAATGAACACGGAATAATAATTCTAGAACATCGATTTACTTTGTAATTAAAATAGCACGATTATTTCGCAAGTGTTTTTATACAAAGGATATAAAATCTAGCAAGTTGTAATAAATGTCTACTCGACCACCACCTGTACGTGCATATTCACTCTAACACACCTTATAAATACATGATTTATTGCAAAGTTACTTATGCGTAGAAGAAATATTTAAATACAAATTCAGATACCCATACCATCCTAGAAGAAAAAAACACGCAGTTAAAAAACTAACGATGATATGTGTGTATCATTGACAGACGCCGTCATCTGTGCTATTCCAGTTGCGAATGTAATAAATAGCGTATTAGGACATGCAACAATCACAAGTGAGGTACAGTTTCATGAGCAGCTTCACAAATATACATACGATTCTAATTCAAAAAACCCGACTCTTCGATTTGAGCTCAGCACATTCTTCATGAGGTAATTATTCCATCTAGCAGACCAGTTACGCACGACGGGAACCATGCGATTACCCCTGTTACCACGGCAACGACAACAGAGCAGACAATCCCGACCGGTTACCTAGTCTAGTAAGCCTCCATGGGCGCGACCCGTGAGGCTTACGATTTCCTGAGTTCAATGACATTCGCTGCGAGCAAAATTTAACGATCTTCCGTGTTCCAGTAGATAACAACACTGTTGTGGAGACCACCTAGTTTGATGTTCATCGATTAGAACAGACGATAGATTAGATAGACTGGTGACGATGCGGCGTCGGCACCACGTCGAGCTCGCCACTGTGCATTTATCGGCGCATCATTCGCTCGTTCCTCTCTGCGATGGCTTTGCATGGTGAATTACTTGCAGCTATTGTCACACCTGCCGCAGGAACGACGCGTCAACCGTGCAGGAACGCGTCCTCACGTGTCACCTATTTTCACAAGGTGGAAACATGTCACATTGAGGGTGACACGACAAAGTGACGAAGATGATGATGACATCAGTGATGATGGTGACGATGACATCACAGCGACAACAATGGTCATACCACACCGAAGATGACAGTGACAAAGACAATGACATTACAATGATGAGGATGACATCATAGCAACAATGACAATGACATCACAATGATGAGGATGACATCACAGTGACAATGACGATGACATCACAATGATGAAGATGACATCACAGCAGGCAAACGACGATGACATCACGAGGACAACTTTAATCGCTTTGGCTTTCGTCGCGCGCAGCCCTTTCCGAACCACCCCGGCACCACGCCCCCTGCCCCCGCCCCCGCCATCACAGCCTCCTCCGCACCACACACTGCATCCAGTAGAGCATCCACCGTCGCTCGCACGGCATCGTCGATGAAGCCCCGTGCAACAGGCGGCCGGTTGGCAGTGGCGTTGCTTGGCAACACAGATGCGGAGGATGAGGAGGATGAGGAGGGCAGCAGCAGCTTCCTGGTGGTCGTCGTGAGCTCGTGGGCTCTCAGCGGCACGGCGAGATGGACGATCGGGTCAGTGTTCCTGCCGAGAGTGAGAGAGAAAGAGATATGAGGAATGAGAGAGAGAGAGAGAGAGAGACGAGAGAGAGTAGAGAGTAGAGAGAGAAGG